GAACCTTTGTGATCTCTTTCACTAGTTCAGTGTTAAACTAAAAGAAAACTACAAAAAATATATATACACCTGGATGAGATGATAAGCAAAACAAAGATACAAAGGAACTGAAAGTTATACAAAAGCTCAACTAAATCTAAATCTTAACAAAACTAGAAAAATAAATATCTCAATCTTACAAAAATTGCAAGTCTGCTAAAAGTTAAGCTACAGAAAAATCTGTTAAATAATAGAAAACCTGGTTTTACGTTTCACAGAAACCTTGTCTATTCATATCCAATCGCAGGGGCACGGAAGCCCGAGACCACTACCTAATTCGCAGACAGAAAAGACAGCCTACTATTTTGGGACATTACAACTATCTTTCCAGCAAAGAAACACGGTTAACTACCAATCAGTGAATCCAGATTCCAGGAATATTTAGAATCAGGAAAGTAGGATGCATTTACTTGAACGACTTTCTGTGTCCAAAGCGCTCTGAAAGAAAACAGAAATTTCGAAAAATTTACATATTAACTGAGGGAGTATAAAACTCAAGAATGGTTAAAAATTCAGCTTCAATACAGTTGAAATCATGCTCACTCGAACGTCACATACTTTTTATTTGTATTTATACCGGATTACTCGATTACACGTTTCTGGTGATGTTGGCGTCAACGTTGAACTATTCCTCATTTTAGATGTTTTAATTTTACTACTAGTGATTTTATTTGGGCTATCTCCAATTTTGACTAGTTTCAGCAAATTTCATTACTTCCAACTAACATCACAGTAACACAAATCAACAATTTGTTATCTTTTATATAATTTGATCAAGGTTTTGGTACAAAAGTCTCAACAATTTAAATGAATCTTACAATCCCAAATTCTTTTCCTAGTAAAGTTCATTTTTTAACCACGATGCGGCACCACAAGTAAATATTGGTTTGAATTGCGAATCTCTTGATTTTAGCAATGTAAGTCCGCAAACGTACTGCAAACGTTTTGGAGGCGGTAATAAAGGAGGATTCAGTTCGCTTTCAACATTATGTATATGCACAGAATTCGGAACAAAGATATTATTTAAAAAATAAAGTGTTTTAAAATCAATGACGCCACAAATAGAAAATATTAAATAAAAGTACAAATTGAAAAGCTAACTAACATTGAGAAAATTTGATACTATACAGGGTTATTTACAGATTATGAAAACTTACGTAAATTAGTTACAGTTTTCGTATAAATACCGAGGTGGTTCCAGAACTAGAGTCATGTGATAGTGGGCATTTGTCCCACGTATAAAAGTAAATTTTACTGATCAAGGTTGTAAAATGCTTCCAAAACTTGATCGGCCACTGGAGAAATGTGTGACCGCTCTTTTCGAAAGAAAATATTCATACAGCGAGATTGTTAATGGATATGTAGAGCAATAGAATAAAACGTATTGAAACAGGGATTAATTGATATTCTCCGTGAAAAACTAGTACAACAAAGCGTTTAGGAAAGCAAAGATAATAATCCAAGTCAATTTGGAAAAATGAGTGATCCGCAAAGTGAAGATAAAGAAGTATAAAGTATAAAGATCAAATGTATAAAGAAAAAAAAACACCTTCCGAGTGCATAAAACATTGTGATAAAGTTGCACATATCTCTTGTTACGGTTAACAATATAATAAACAAGAAGTTGTCTAGTCGAAGATTCACAAGCTTTGCGCCACATTTCGTAATCAACATCTGTTTTCAAGAGAAAGATAGCTGAAGAAACTGGGATCATGGTAATCCTATTTGACTACACACCTGTCAAATCTCCGATGCAGCTCCAATGTCTATAAATGTTTTTGACATGCTTAAGCGTGCGCATGGGACAACAAATCTAAGGCATTAGCTGTGTTGTAAGGAAAGCTGCAAAAGAGGGGAGGAGAATAACATGACAGGTTTCGGAAGAAGTCTGATTTCATGGAAACATTGCTACAGAACCATTGGCATGAAGTAGGAAAAGTAAATACATCATGATCACCAATTAAAATCAAACTTAATCAATATTTCCAAAAAGTGCGAAGGACCTTCCAACTTGATATATAGACATACATATGAAAACCAAAAAAGTTCAAGCTCCATCCAATATATGGTGCCACACTTTAACTATTTGGAAGGTGAAATTTCTTTATAATTGTGGATTGTTTTTGTTTATAAATGTATAAAACTAGATCACAGATTTAATTGGAAAATAATAAAAAGCTCATTTTGGTAAATTTAGCTTCTTTATCTCTTTACGCCAGAGGCGCTTCAGCTGGTAAATTAGTAAATCAGTTACATTCTATAATTCAGGCTTGGTTGGATACATAACTATTTATTTAAGTGCATTTAGTAACTCTGACAATACTAAAAGTTTACTAAGAAAAATCCGCGATTTTGCAACATTGGAAACATTTAAATCTGTTTAATCTAAATACATATAACTCGTACAAAATTTGCATATTAAAGATTCCGAAACCATAGCCAAAACAAATCCGGAAAAACACCTCATCCAAAACGTAAAGGCTATGGCCTAAATGGATAAAAACTGGAAAATATATCCTCTATATTTCTTTTTGTTTTGAGGACAACTAGAGCTCAACAACAAACCACACTGAAAAACTTACTTTGATAATGAGTAAGCCTATTTACAAAGAGCTATCTATATATATGTGAAGTCCATTGAAATTAAGCAAATCTTTGACGATGAAATTGATTTTTGTCATTCATCAAAAGTCTACATTGAAATGAACAAATGACTATTTCGATTTTATATTATTATTCCATGTAATTTAATTATTGTTACCAAACAAATATTATTGCAATATATACATAAAAGGATGTTTCCATAACACAAAATTTGAGTTTAGCAGCAGAGAGCAATTCCACATTCTTATAGATAATTACTGTGTTGTCGACAACATTTAATTTAGAAACAATCACTACACACTGGGCTTGAGTATGTTATATTAAACGAGTATGAATATGAAGTCGGCAAGTCACGTGACAACCGCAACCAACATAAAGTTGCTGTTTAACGATATGTATTAGAATTACATTTTATGTTATGTAGGTAGTGTGATGTCACCGAAAACTAATTGCTTTTGGGAAAGGTATGTAACATCCCATTCCGATGCAAAATATGTATACACTCAGATCATAAAGATGTCTTCAGATAGGATATTTAGGATTTTCAAGAAGCCAATATCCCTTGTATTTAATGGCATTTGAAAACAAAGGAATGTGTATCAAGTTGGGGCACTAGGAACATCCAGAGAGAGACCTGCGACTAGTTGTACCCCAGCTGTGGTAAATATAGTGCTGCGTCTTGTAACAGGTAAGAACATACGAGCACAAAGGTCATTGACAAAAGCCATCCATATGTCCTAGGCCTCAGAACGCAACATAATCAAGAAGGAACTTGGTCTGCTTAAGCAACACAAGTCATGTGTACACTACACAACATATACATTGAATCGTTTTCTTACCTCTAGCAGCTGGAGAATGAAACGGATATCCATACTATTTCATGCAAAGACAAACCAATTTTGTGTCGTCCTTGTATATTGGACTGCTTATTGAAACCACACAGGGAGGAGAAGTGTGCTTTGAACAAGACAGTCTTACGGTCTTTTGCAGCGTAAATTACTCTGCAGGGCTATTGTCAATATGTGTGGTCGTCAAATAGATCCTAACCGGACACAGCGACAGTAACAATGTGGTAAGGATCCAAAATAGTTTTATTCAAGAAATAATAGTTCTAGTATAGAAGAAATAATAGTTCATCATACAAGCACCAACTGTTTGTCTTTTTTTGTATCTATGTGTGTCTAATAGACTTACTGGGGTCACGCAATTCGTCAACATTGTTAAATATGTTGCTTGTTAAAAGGGAAACTGTGCTAAGCCGTGAAGCAATCTGAAATTGTTTTCAATGTTCCAATTAATTTTTCTGCTTGAGGCCACAGGAATAGCAATCGTGTTGAATGAGATATCATTTCTGACTTATATTAGACAGTAATAGTTTGTGACATTCAAATATGCAAGAGATCAACTGTCACTTGAACGAGAAAATGGCAAATTAAATTTCACATTTTCCTGAAGACGTCATACGTTATGTGAAATACCGATGAAGAATAGTCAACATTTTGTATTAAAACTGTTGTGTTACTTATTTGTTTATTTTTAGTTGTTAAAAGTTAATCTGTCAATTTTTGGTTTAATTTTGTTTTCATTACTGGAATTTAAATGCTTTCCTTTGTGTTTTTACGGGCAGAAGTAAAATGTAGTGAAGTTCTACGAACTCACCCATATTTGAAACCTACAGTGAGTTTAAGGTTTAGGGACGAGCAGGAAAAGAATCTCGAGTAAAAATGCGATAAAAAACGAAGCATTGAATGGGTATAGAAGAAAATTCTTTGCTGATTTTTATGATTATTCTATATGTTACTGATACTTCTATACAGATATCTTGTTATATACGTATGTATAAATGGGGAAATGACGAGTGTTTGAAAATTTAAATTTGTGGGAATAACAAACCGATGTAGCTAACGCGTGATAAAACGAGAAAGTAGAAAGAAAATATCGCTGTAAGGGGAAGACTACAGTATAATTAATAGTTTAGGATTTTTTCCTACTTTGTGCACATTTTCTATAGGCATTTAACGTGTTCAGTAAAAATAATTATCATTCCAAAAAATTCTGCAGTGGATAACGTATCACAGACGCGATAAAATGTCGTTTGTATTTATACTCTATGACCGATAAAAGGAAAATTTTAGGTATGAATATGTTGTGGTTTAAATATTTCAGAATGACAGGCTTTCAGCACAACGTGATTATCATATCCTAACGTATGTGTTTCTGTTCCTCTTCTCCGCTGTTTCTACTAATACTACTAGTACAATTCTTAGCGCAAGTATTGATTTTAGCCTGAAGGAAGGCGCTATGGAGTTATTCTGACCTTTCGAGGAAAGCGCCCTCCAGCGGCTAGAGCACTTGGTGTTCCTTGTTTAGTGAAACCTCACAATAACACACATCTGAAGATGCAGGTGTGTATAATGACTATAGTAATGATGTGATTTCAATCTTTGGAGAATAAATGAATATTTCTTGGTTTAATATTTTAGTTTATTTCTGGGCATCTGGAATAACGTACATTCGTCACGCAGGCTGGTGGCGCTGTTAGGTAGAATGTTTGTCCTCTCTCTATCCGAAGGAGCGACGTATCACTGTACGAAGTATAATCAACGCTCCTGCCATCGTGATATGTTTGTGACTTACCATTACAGTGGGTAAGATTTTTCCATTATCTCTTTCAAACTATAGATATTTCAAAATAATAAGAAGAACGAGGTATTTTTTATTTACGTCTTTAAATACACAAATGGATTTTATTTATTGCCATTGTTTTTATTCCAAATATAGTGTCTGACAACTTTGCAAATGTAGAACTATATTTCACTGTATGAGATGCAAAGGCATTATCTGCCAGACTTGAGAGATTTAGACGATAAGCTAACATATTTCTTATCTGCGATTTTATGCTATGAGAGTAAAATAATCGTAGTGCTATTTTTGTTTTTTAAATTGATTTATCAAATTCAGCTACTTATTCGAACACAAACAATATTAAATATAAACAGAACATCACTTTTAAATATGGAAAATATGACAGCATGCCGTTAGACATAACAGTCAAAGCTATTCCATCGTACATTTTTATCATTGAACTAATTCCATAAGAATTTATATTACACTTGGAGCAAATTATTATAAAGTAATAAAGATGAGATACGAATAAAAACAAACTATTTATGCAAAATATGTCACGCGGGTAAGAATATTTTTAGATACAGATATATATATATATAAACTTACAAGATGACAGCCAATATGTGACTTTCTATAAATATCTCCCTACCCTCCATCAACTCCTATGGTACAGACTTCAACATCACAGAACCACGAGTTCTGCATATATTCTGGGCCTCAACCTAACGTTGTCGTTACCATGATGTCGAGCGATTGCTTAGCTAACGCCAACGACATTTTGTGTCGCATAGCCTTTACTGCTTGCCATCCAAAAACAATTCCCTTTGTAGCGAACTTGAGGGAAACGTAGCAGTGCATGTGCAGGAAGCCCGCTTGCTGCTTCTGTTCGTGCTGGTGTTAATCATCTTTGCCCGTGAAATGACGTCATGTTATATGTAATGCTTGATAATTGAAATATAGATGGTAGCAGATCAATGAACAAATGATCCGAGACAGAGAAAGAATAACAGATCATCTTTCATTTATTCTCTGTGGTCCGAAAAGTGGAATATTGCATCAAGTTTTGCATGGACACAGGAATATAGACCCGTATTTAATGGATGTGTTTTTAATTAAATGCAAAATAATGAGAAGTAATTTGTTGTTGGTATTATTTTCATTAATATTAAATATGTTATCTTTTATATGTTACAACTATCACAAATGTGATATAAAAGTTGTTTTACGCATCCTTAAAAGTGTCAGATGTTGGATCATTAGCGTTTTTAATTCTCCCCTCTTCTCTTTCCCCTTCCCTCCTTCCTACAATCTGTAGAGGTATACAGCTCCCGCATGATATACATATCTATGTGGGCACTGCAAACCACAAGTAAGGAGGCTAGAGGAATGATAATTATAGGATTTCGGTTTTAGTTTTAAACCAGGTTGTGATGCATACATTCGTTAAAGAACAGACACTGAGAGCTACAAATAAACGTGTTACACTTCACAGCAGTGATGACGTTTCATGTCAGAAAAAGATGTGGACACGTGGCTAATAAATGATGGTATACGGTAGAAAACTATGTGCGCTATGTATGAAACTGTTGATAGTGTCGTAGAGTTTATTTGTTTTTAGTAATATGTAGAACGTGCTTTGAGGAAGATTGAATATGGCTAACATGATTCCGTCTGAGTACTAATTGTGTATGTTTAAGTTTTTTAAATCGTGTATGTCAGGTAAGTAATGATATTAGAAGTTTGTATTTGTGCGATTATTCTTTACGACTGGTAAATAATAAATTCAAGACTATTATTCACTGGAATGTGCTTACCAGTTTTGAGAATATATTCACTAAATGACGGGTCAGGAGTGTGTGCGGTAAATGTTAATTTATGTGTGCACTTACTGAACTATAGGTTTAATTATATAAGGAAATGATAGTTTATGAATTTATGAATGATAAATTAATGACAGTTATTTGTATATGGCTGTGTGTTAGAAGAACAGGTGTGATAAATGTCATATAAATTATACTTGTATCCGTGGGTAATAGGTATTTTTATGCGTGTAATGTTTTAGGTAAATACTGAATGATAACAACCAAATGTAAGTTATTTCTATATTTATTATGAAGTAATTCCAGTTGTGGTTATCATATAAACTTATTATAATATTGCAGCAGCCTAAGGCAGTGACTTAAAATGATTTACCATTTTAAGAAATCCTACTTTTGGTCATTATTATTCAGGACATTGATTTATTATTATTATATGTCTCGAGGACAGAGGCCTCAAACCTCAGATTCCAGGCATTGAAAACGCAGAAGCTTCGATAATATTATTTGCTAATACTTAAAAAGAGAAAGTTTTTGTTTCTCTCAAACTCCAAATATACTCTTGAGATAATAAGTTCTAGTTAAAATGTTCTAACTTTTCACGTCGTACCCGTTCTCAAACCCGAAATTCGCCTAAATTATACACGGTCTGAATGTTAAAGTGAAAAATATGTAAACTAATAGCCTTTAATAATTTTCTTTACAAACACTCTTAAGACCTCAAATGTGGATTCTCTTTTACACCACACAATATACCAAAACATCGCTTTCAACCCCTCATCCATTTCTAATCAATAATTTTCCCACTTTCTGGATCTGAGAGGGTTCATTTGTGTAGAATTTTCACACAGAGTCACGCAAGGGCTATTTACGCATATCAATCATTAATTTTAAACTAATAGATTAAAGAAAAAATCAACTAGTCAACAGCACCCACTGCCAACTCTTGGGCTACTTTTGTGTGACCGAATAGTGTGATTTGACCGTCACTCTTATAGCGCACCCATAGCCATAAAGTGCGGAGTGGGTTTTGGGGAATTTAAGAAAAAAACCTAAAATTTTGAAATCCCAATATATATATAGATATATATATATATTATACTGAATATGCACTGTTTGTTACCTAGAAAAATGCGACTCTGTCTCTTCTATCTGATGTTTTGACTTCACAAGTTCGTGTAAAGAACTGACTGAACCAGTTTCAATTAAATCTGGTATCAGCACTTTAAAGTCAGTGCAATGGTGTCCATCCATCAAATCTATACCAAGAATAAAACCAACGTTTGATCTATAGGCCTAGTATAAAAACTACGAGTTCCAGTTACTACATAGTATCAATGCCTATTACACATTATTAAATGTACATTGATAAATTAGATCTAATAGGTAAAAAACATTTTAACTGAAATAAAAATAAAATAAATAAGGTCCTACCGTTGGGGTAAGTAAGGGAACCTTACCTCCAGACTTTGACACTCATTATAGTAGTAAAAGCTCAAATTAATAAGTTAATATTGGTAGTATACTATACAAACTATCTACTACATAAAACAAAGTGTATGTGTCCGGGAAAAATACACGGTCGTATATCTATCATTTCATATCTGTTCCTTATAGATTTCCACATTTCTTGATCAATCAACACCAAACTTAACACGGTGATACAGGATAACAGAAGGAAGGTCATGAAGGGGTTGATGGGTTGGACCCATCTTCTATATAAATATCTGTAAATATGTGTGTGTATATCTGTTCCTTATACGTTTCCACATTTTTGATTAATGAACCCCAGACTTGACACAGTGATACAGAATGACATGAGGAAAGTCATGAAGGGGTGGGAGTTGGACCCCCCCCCCTCCCATATAATTTCGGAAAAACTACCAAATCAGCACAATTTTACACAGTTATACAGAATGACATGGAGAAGGTCATGAGAGGGGGTGGATCCCCATCTAATTATATATTGATATAATTCTTGAAAACAGTATGTTTTTCTTTTCAGTATTGGTACCTTTATGCATTTTTATTGCTTTTTTAATGTTTATTATATTACGTAAAAAAATAGAAACCCAATTTCCTATCCTTTGTTACAAACGAGTTTTTATTTCACCCGTCCAGTGGATGGGTACTCCAGCTAGTATTAATATTACAGTATAAAAACCCAACCAAGTTATCTGAACTCGTATAACTCCCAACTTCCACCCATTAAGTTTACTCGTAGAGTCTATTGTAAATACTTTTTTTCTTATATTTTATATTTCTTTGGGGAGCAGTCACCTTCCCACTGTCTGCAGGCAGTGAAGGGTGACATAGATATTGGATGTTATGGATTTGTGTACCCACATCTTGCTTTTCTAATATATTCTTATTTTTATTTTTCTTACTTATTTTATGTTTATTCTGTTTTTCTTTAACATGTGAGATTAGCGAACGCAGGTTAAGACTGGTAGACGGTGTATCTCCACCGCTATATAGGTTCTACTTTCACAGCCACCTCCAAAACCCAGGGTACATTTTATATAACTCATTATAGCCTGTGCCATGGTGATCTTTTTAATTTATGTTGCGTTTTTGTTGGGATTAAAGCTTGTTTAAGTAATTAGAATGATTTTTTTTATCACTGGTTTGATCTTTCTACTTTTAAAGCAGTCCTTCCTTTTGATGTTAACAAGATAAATAAAAAAATGGGAATTTAAAAACCTACAAATAGGGATCGTAAAAAACAGAAAGGAAGCAAAGCTGGAGATACTGTAGACATTAATTACTCAAACTACAAACCCCGATTTTGACTCCATACTGTTACTTAGAATTACATTTGGTGGAATCAAAATAGGGATTTGTAGTTTGAGTAAATAATGTCTACAGTATTTCCAGTCTTGTTTTCTTACTTGTTTTACTATCCCTAGTTGCAAGTTTTTAAATTGCCAATTTTTATTTATCTTGTTTGATGGCTTTTTTATGCTTAACTATAGGCAAAGGATTACTTGATATGGTAGCTAACTTTATATATTGTAATGATAATAAACATAGGTAGTAGCTAGCTGATACGGTTTTCACTTCGTACATAGTATAGGGGTTGGCTCCCTATAGACACCGATTGTATAGTGTACAAAGCATTGTGTATCTACATGCTACAGTCATCTAATGTTCATATATATTTGGCTTTTAATTCCTGTTTCACCCTGTATTTAAGCTTTTTA